AAACAACGATAAAAATAAAATAAAAACAACAATAAAAATTAATTGGCGCTCCGGGGCGACTTCATTGATTCCAGTGGCGCATTTGCTTTTTCAGCTGCAGGAAAACCCGGAAAAACCTGCAGCACCACATCATCTGAAGATCTTGATCCAACAATGTCCTCTCTCTTATAAAACAAAATGTAAGGTGTCTCCAGAGGCTCCAATAAATTTAATGCATCGCCAGAACACTTCGTGACACGACTATCGTCAAACTTAAACCAGTCCGTTTCGTCTTTGACCAAAGCGTAATAATGAACAATGTATTGTAACATAATAATTAAAAAAAATCCTCATTATTGTTATTATTATAACTTTTTCTCCGTTGGATGGACTATTCTATACAATTCAGTCTTGGAAATACCAAGGGTGAGCATCTTGTACATGATATACTTAAAATAATAATATTCAATTACTTTTTGTTCGTTACTTTCATTTTGTTGTTGTTGTTATTGAAAATTTCGTCAAATTGATTTGTTACAAGGAGAATTTACTCTCACCCTTTTCGAATATTTCAGACGCCAAGCTCCCATTGGTGGAAAACTTCAAGGAAAGATCATAGTTCTATTTACTTTATTTATGGATGTTTTCGTAGAGTTTGGACAATAAAATTTGTCATACCAAGAAAAGATGATACATGAGAAAAATATCAGTTTAGATACTGAGAAAAATATAGAGAACTGATGCTGAATTCCAATTCAGATTCTAACGGTCAAGAAAATGTATTACTTAAATTCTCGAACGGTCTTGAAAATATTTCAATTGATTTTTGACTCCACAAGTCAGAATTTAGAGTTCACTGCCAAATCTTTATTAATTTGTCCGAAAATATATACAAACTGATCACATGTATGAATTTCTAAATATCTTACTAAATGACAAAATGGGAGAAAAATCGAACAGTTTGATCTTCCTCTTGAAGATGATCACCTGGTGATCGAAACACGTGTCGAGGTGTTGAAATAACGGTTTGGTGTTGTGAAAAAACTCCAGTAATAAACATTTTTAGAAAACTGCTGCATGTTGAGTTATTTCGATCGATTTTCACAAATCCCTTTCCAAGTTGGGTTCCAAGTGAGATGTTTTGCTCTCTGTGATACAGACTATGAATGCCGTCCAGCGAATATAACAGGTTTCTCTTCCCGATGTGGTCATTGCTAGGTCGTTCCAGATCTACTTCTTTGTCTAGGTCTAGGAGTGACCACAGAATAGGCATACTACCCCACCCTGAGGGGAGCCCCTGGTGAACCTGAACCTAATGGCCTCATCTTGAAGAGCGTAGTTAGATGAAAATACTTTGAATTCAAACAGCTGTATATTGAACTAATTTATAAGCAGCTTCGTGGAACAGTTGGGGATCGAGTACCAATAGTCGACGATTCAAATATATCTGCCAATATTCTGTAGGAATTGAATAACATAACAAAAATAGGAAATAGTTATGAACGCTTCTTTTAGGTTGCTTCTTGTCATGAAATTTGTTCTCATTTTAAACATTTTCTGGCATAAGTCATAGAAACATGTTCTTCCTTACGAATCAGTAGATAGTTGTCCTGAAAATCTAGAGAAGAAAATTGGATTGGATAATTTATCGAAGAGTACAAAATCTGGGCTGCTGGACCATGGTCGAATGGAACCAGCAGTACCAAACGTTTTGGCAGATATGATCAGTGGCATGTGTGTTGACTGAGAAGACAAAGGTTATATCTCGAAATCAACGCATATACCACTGATGATGTCTGTCGCAGTAACAGGCGAAACGCTTGGCACTTCAGGTTCCATTCGACCAAGGCCTTTCAGCCTGGATTTTGTTCTCTTCAATCGTGACTCAGGCCATGTTTTCATATATCTTTTGTTCTTAGAGGTTAGGAAAATATAAGATACTTATTGAAAACTACTAGTCTAATAAAGCTTTCAAAGATGAAGAATTGGCCTAAATTTCAAATTTATTTACTCAGGTAGAAGATGTAAGTTTAGTAAAATGGAAACATCTATAAATGACATCTGTTCAGTAATAGATGCAATAACCATTTTCATCAATCACCAGTTTTGGTTACTTTGTCTATATTGACATGACATATTTTTGAATTGTCTATATTTGAACATACCGAATTGAAATGACACTCTCATCACCAAGGTTTGATTTCTAATTCCCTTTTAATGAATGATTACATTTTTAATTTCCTAATTTTTTTGCGCCCTCTACCATGCGATAAGTACACTTTCAGTTGAAGTTTCTCGCATAATTCAAAAGATGGCAGCATCATGTTCAATTCGAACCAAGTTTTTCAAATTTGAAATGTGTCGATGACCCGTATAATTAGGAAGTTTGTCTTATTATATTTTTACTACTGTATCCTATTGAAAATATTCCCAATGTAGCCCACAACTCATGAATGATGGGTGCGTGTGAAATAAAGAAAAAAAAGAAATATTAAAATCAAATTTGACGATTAGAAAGTAGGGAATTCTGCCATCTAGCAGCTCACCTTGATGAAAGTGAAAACTGACTCAGTATACCTCGCGATATGACAAATACAAGAAGTTAGTTACATTTGACAATGAATTCTATTATGTTTTCATGTGATCTCAAGATATAATTCAAAGCGTATTAAACTGTTACAGTTGTTTATAATTCAATGACAAAAAGGTAAGAATTTTTTGAAGTATATTTTGAGAAAATAATAATAACAATAATCATGAAGTGGTCCAGTTTAGGCAAATATAAATTTCTTTGAATTGGGATTCTCTGTTCATAAAATGAAAATGAGCGATTGTCATTGAAACGCAAATGACCAAAATGATCATAAAAAATATTAGAGAGAAAATTAAAAACAAGTTTTTGAATACTGTGCATAGANGATCGAAAACCTTCCGTATGCAACTTCAATATCCTTGACTATTATCATTTTCAATAACCGCTTTCAATATCCTAATTGTACATTCACTGAGTGAAATAAATTTCGATATTGATTGCTCCATTTTTGAAGAGAAAATGTTGAAAATCGTATTTTGGCTTTAGAAAACAACCATTGATTTGAACATCTTTGTTATTGTTAATGTTAACGAAAATTGTGGTAAAGTATTCACATTTTACAACTACTCGTGTTAGCCAATTTTTCAAATTGAACCACTACTTATGCCTGTAACATGAGAAGACGAGTAATCCCAAATTATAAGATATATTGAAATGTTGGTGAAACAACTATAGATACAAAAGGTACATAAACCTATCCATCATATTTCAATCAAAATCTAATTTACATTCAAGAAGCGAACATTACGGAAACGATGCCTTTTTAGATGTTTCATTCACCCCGAGTGGCGAAATTTTGGCTCTCTTATCGTTATTTTCTTGGATATTCACACTGTCGCAATATTCCATTTTCAAGGTTGTAAAATTTCAACGAAACATTTTGCTCGTTATTTGCAAATATTCACAATATTTCGCAAAAATAGTGTACTTTCCACAATTTTTTTTATAATAAAAGAGCACTGAAACACATTAATGACATGGCCAAACAACATTTTCGTGTATGTCTCTCCAGCTTCCTGAAAAAACGTTACCTGCAAGTGGTCGTCGATGGATATATCTCGAATACGATGGGAACACCATCAACGCTGGTGTTCCCCAAGGATCCATATTGCCTCCAACCCTCTTTTTATTGTATATTAACGACTCATTGGAAAAACCAAGAACCCAATATATTGCTTTGCTGACGACAGCACACTTGTCTCGTCCATTTGGATTCCAGGACATCGGCTGGGGATTCAAATCTTCACCGGCAGTAGGAGGTTGCATAAAAAAGAAATGTTTCCGAACTGAATATGTATAATAATGTAATGACAGACAATTTCGCTCTCTGCTTCGATAAGTTTGTTGGGGGGTTAAAATGGATACCAATATGTCTTGGCACAATCATGTCGCTGGAATTGCAAAGGTTGCTTCTCAATAGCTTGGAACACTGTTCCGAACCAGAAAACTATACGCACTTCAGCAACTTTTGATGCTTTATAAAGCTCAGATCAGACCTTCTTTGGAGTATTGTTCTCACATATGGAGCTCCGCCCCTAAGCATACCCTGAAATGATGGAGATTTGTGTCTTTTTCATAGATACTTTCACGGGAAGTGTTCAAGTGACTTGGCACATTCGATTCTACCAAGAGCGGAACATATCAGAAATACACGACGGACTGTGACTGCTCATTGTTTTGAGGTTCAACTCAGTACACCTGGAACTTCACTGTTTGAGAACTCTTTCATTTGGAGAACTGCGTTTATGTGGAATAAACTTGCTGACAACGTCTTTCCAAATGGATTCAAAATCCAGCTATTCAAATCCAATGTGAATCGCTATTTTCGCATAGGCACCGCTCTTAGAGCGCCCTAAGGGTTTCCTGTAGTACTTGTATTTTGCCCTTAAAAAAATATCAGCCAAATAAGAGTGAATTTCGTGAAATGAAAACTAGTAGAAAATTTCACCATTTTAAATTTTAATTTGCTTATATCTAGCCAAGTTTTGATCGGATCCAGATTTAAAACTTCGCAAAATAACTGTCTTGTTGAGGTTAAAAACCGTCTCTTTTGTTATATCCGTATTTTTCATTTTTCAACAATTTTCCCAATGTTTAAATGTAATAAGTTGGATATGTTATTTTTCGTTAAATATTGACTACCAAAACAGATGGGTTTTCGTAGGAAAAGGGAACCTTTATCAGTTTTCAGTAATAACTTTAGGTTAACGAGAGCGAAGCCAATCAAAGAAAAAGTCGTTAAATTAACTCCTCGATGTTTAAGAAATCTGATATTTTAGAACTTTTAACCTCATCATTCATTTTATTATCATAACGTTAAGGGTCGAAAATATATTATTCAGTATGTGTACCCCATTTAGAATAACTGTCAATAAGCACTTGAAAGTATAATAAATATCGATACACGATGGTGGTTAAACCTATGATAATTAACATACGCATCTCTGGGGTCTGGTGGCCAAAGGTGAAGCAGGCGACCGCCATCTACAAACTAGGCAAGGTGCAAAGACTTTCATGTTTGGGAATGACGGGAGCAATGAGAACTACCCCAACAGCTGCATTGGAGACACTCCTGAATCTACCTCCTTTACACTTTGTGATAATGGGGGAGGCCAGGATGGGCCAATTCAAACTGGAAAACTCACCGAACCACAGAAGATCGGACCGAACAGAAATTTCGGAACAAGTGGAGGAGCATTCCCTGTAGAGTTTTGGAAAATACTCGAATAGAGTGAAATACGGTTTCGAGAAGTGATCTCGATATTTGGGAGTTATTCGCGGTTCATTTGGCTAGCTTACTCGAGGTAAAAAGTCAGGAGTGTACGTACTCAAAAGAAGGTCGGTTGGACTTCCTACGAAGTTCTGAGTGGATTCTGGACGAACTGAAATACGAGGTAGTTCAGGGCACCGTTTTGCGAAGTGTGTCTGGATTGATAAATATTCGCGGTTTAGTTGAATTGAGGTAAAGGCAGTCGTGCGCGGAGATTTGGTGAATCCAGTTGAATTTCCTACAATAGCTGGAAATTCTAGAAGAAGTTTCAGAGTGAATTGAAATATGGAAACTATTATACTTAACACATCATTTTTGATGATATCATCTACTCCATAGGTTGAATCCTGCTATTAATTATAGTCAAAATCGTCCCCTTTTCGAATAACTCGCCTGGGTTTCTCATTCAACCTAACTTTATAATTTTTTTCAGATTAAATAAAACCATGAAACTCCACATATCACTCCTGATTCTGTCACTCCATCTCACTGTAGCCGAATATATTCCACCCGGCCCCCTCTATAGATGCCCAAAGGAAACGCTGCTCCTGTACCCCTGCACGTGCGACTCTGAATCCGATAACGGGATAACAGTTAGCTGTAACAACACCAACCTAGCTAGTATGAGCATCGGACTCAACAATCTGGCAACTTTCAGGCTACCAATCGAAAAGCTAACAATTTACAAGTGTCATATCGGTGAGCAAGCCTTTGGAAAAAACATAGGCGTTACAAAATTTATTTTCAGGGGGGCAATACGCGGAAAAATAAATTCATCTGATTACAGGTAGACTGTACGGCAGCCTTCTCTACAAGCTCAATCTTAAAGTGTTGCATGTGGAAGATACTCCTGTAGAAATAATCGAAGAACACACTTTTCTGGGGGTGAATAACACGTTGAACGAATTCCATCTGAAAAATGCTTCATTGAAAGAGTTTCCCACCCTTGCGTTCAAGGTATGAATAAAAAAAGTGTTCCAAAAAACTTTTCCTTATTGAATATTTAGATTTTAGGTAATTTGACAGTTCTCAACTTGGACGGGCACAAGATGGCGGAATTGCCCAAAGATGCATTTGCAGGAAGTAACATGACAGGTACTCTGTTTAGACTTCATATTACAAATGGAAATCTGTCAACGCCGCCCCCAGAAAGTTTACAGCCGCTGAGGAGGCTTAAAAAGCTAGACCTTCATGGTAATCGAATCAAAGACTTGAAAAGGAACCAATTCAAGGGGCTAAGGGATGTAGAAATATTGGATCTGAGTTTCAACGAGATTCCAAAAATTGATGGATCTCATCTGTCAGATTTGACCAAATTGTCGTTCCTCAATGTTTCGAATAATAAACTTAAAGAAATCACCAGGTGAATAAAGATTACTACACTACACAGTATTGAAATTGAACCAATCAATAGTTCAATAGAGGTTTTTTAATAGTATTATTTATTTCAAGGGGAGCATTCGCTAGAAACACGGTTTTGAAAGTTCTCAACGTGTCTTTCAATCAAATCAAGAAACTTGATCAGAATTCTTTCAGAGGAATGAGGTTCCTGCGGAGACTGTACCTTTCAGATAATGTTATTTCTGATATCGGTAGGGGCACTTTCGAATCTTTGAAGAGGATAGGAACCATCGATCTGGCCAGAAATTTACTTAAAAAAATAGATTATCAGATGTTTTACCAGCTTAATTTCATAGAGGTAAGTCGAAAATATGACATTTTGTGTATTGTTGTTATTTCTGTGATTTCTTTATAAGTAAGTGTCATTCTTGTTGAGGAACCAACACTACAATCCCTAATATTCCTATTTGTCTGATTACTAGGGCACATTTAAGTCACCTATAATGAAATAAGCTGTCTGTTCAAACAAGGTGAATTTTAATTTTACTCAAAAAATATTCATTTGATCATCAATTTCCATTTCGTCTCCTTCAAAGTAGTCCCCTTCAGATATGATACACGTGTAGCAGCGTTTTTTCTAATCCTCGAAGCAGTCTTGATGTGCACTTTTAGGTATAGTCGAAGTAACCTTTATTGTGAATACTTGAAGCTATCAGCATCTCAAAGGTCAAAAAAACCAATACAGAGAAATAATTCCGCTGCGAACTAGTCCACGTGGACTGAAGAATTGGTGGTTCGTATTGGATAATTTTTCCTAAACGAGTTTTATGATTGACTGAAGTGTCATAAAATTAAATTTGAAGTCATGTTACGGTGACGAATAGAATGTGGGGATGAGTATCGCTGTTGTGTCTTCAATGTTCAGTTCAGGAACTGATCGCGATTTGAGTGTTGAAATTCGACATTGGTGTAGTTATAATTACTTAAAATTTTTCTGTTTAAAATGTGGCGTCCTTGGACAAGTACTAATAGTGATAACGAATGTGATAACAACGCAAACTTTTTCCTGTGTAGTGATTCCAATAGCGATGGTGAACAATGCGAAAAAGAGATACCAGTGAATAAGATTCGGATGCATTCGAATATTGAAACACATAGAGTATGTTTCAATGTATATAAGAATCTACATCTCAAGTTTGGTTTCGAGGGAAACAAACTATTACAAGTAACATCAGATTTGACCGAAATTCCTTTCTCAACTGTACTTAAAATAGTCAAAAACAAACCTTATGAACGCAAGACGCGATGTGATACGGGATTACCAAAACCTTTGTATGTTCATCTAATAAAATCAAAAAAAAACAATATATGACTGTTACAATAGCATTGAGATTCCTACAACTGAAATCATAAGGAAGAAATTGAATACTTTCGGCCATAACGTGAGCTGCTGTGACAAAACTCTTCAGAATTGAATAAAGAAACTAGGATTTATATTCAAAATAATAAACAAACGTCAAGCAGTTATGGAAAGCATAAGAATAGTGGAATTGCATAACAAATACTTAGAATAAATAACTGAATATAGACAAGAGCAATGGCAAATGATTATTGAATAAAAAAAATAGTTAGCTCCCTAACTATATTATCAAAGGGGGACTGTTGGTTGCACTATACCGTTTACTTGAGTTCTCTCAGCGACTCGGCTTTCATCTCCTCAATCTTCGCAAAATGACGGTGGCGGAAGTTTTGATTAAGATGTTGTTTTTGGCTGAGTGAGCAAGCGTATCATCGTGCATTATGTTATTTTACAACACCAGCCGTTTTTTTCGTATTGCTTCTCGCAAGCGGCGCATAACTTCGAGATAATACTGTTGTAAATTATGCCAGAAAGATAAACCAAATGTGACGTAGATAAGAGCGCGGGAATGCCCAATGTTCCCTGTCGCTCTAGAAGCAGCAAAGAACTTCGGCGAAAATTCTAGGATGTTTCATTGCGATATTTAAACGCTGACTGCAAGCGTATTGGGACAGTCAAGTACACAGTGAAGTGGACGTTACAGTGCGGTACGCGAAGTGATCTAGTAAGGCGATAGACATTCAAATAATAGTTGAAATTTTCAGTTGAAGTGTTTGTTGTGTTTCAAGTGAAATAAAGTTTGATTATTCAGTGTAGTCAATTATTGGTGAACCTATGGGCAAAAACGTAACAATACTTTTTATCGACCCTACGACCATGTGGCAAGAACTCCTGATGCATTACGCTATGGTAATAGAAGAAAACAGTGAGCAAAACCTTGGAATTTGATCGAACTGTGCGTACTTTTTTTGGTCTTGGCTCTCCTGGGCTCTTATATTGGGACGATTGAACTTTAGTTTCGATGTCATGATTCTTCACCAGTTATGACTCTCTCAAACAAATCTGAATCTCCGTTGACGACATTCAACAGGTCCTGAGCAATGCTCACGTGACGGTTCAATTGTCAAAATTCAGCAATTTTGGAATGAACTTCACTACCACACGTCTCTTTCCCAAAATTTCTGAAAGATTGTATGACATGCGCCAACCGAAATGCAACTTCTCTAATAGTAATTCCGCGATTCTCCGTAACGATTTTCAACATTTCCATCAGTTGTTGATGTGCTGGAGAGTCTAGGACGATCGTCGTCATTCACATCTCGACCTTCTGTGAAAATCTTGTACTTCTTGTGAAGTAAACATTTTTCTCACTCAGAGTACATTAAATTTGATGCAATTTCTTTGATCCGTTATTTTGGATAGTATAAAATCGCCGAAGACGTAAATCTTTTATGCTTCGCACCAACAAACTGAACATGCTGAAAACACAGCTGTTACTGTGAACATATGTTTGAGACGAGTATACCAACACAAAAAATTTTAAAAAAATCGCTAATCGAATGCATGTTGTCCGCGAAATTTGAAGATCACCTTATTTTTTGAACAGCTCACGTACATTGTTATTCCTGTAAATCGTTATAACTTTTCACCAACTTAATTTTATATGCTAGGGGTAATACTTTGATTTTTTTGTGCGGTGCCAAATGGACGAAAATAGTTATTTCTGTCTGGAACAATGATTCGATGTCGATAAATTTCTGGGTTTATAGAATTGGTTCTAGGAAGGTAACTTATAAATATATTCTTCCCCGATTGGCGTTGAACATCAATTTTATTGATGCTTTCAGGGATTTCTAATCATTTTATATCATGTTAGACAAATGGAGTCGGACCTAATGAAATTCATCATGAAACATTGTCAACCACCTTCAACCAAACATCAATTCAAGTGACATTTATTGATCATAGAAGTGCCAATTTCAACGGCTAGACATTTAAATGATTTTATCATCAACAAATAATTATTTCAATTGATTTCCATGTTTTCACTTTTAACAAAATTTTAATATTTTTTTCCAGATATTAGACGTTTCGGAAAACCAAATAACCGAAATACAAAAGTTAGCTTTCAAGGATATTTTCTTGGCCAGAATAATTTTATCTAAAAATAAAATAAATAAGATCGAAAACGGGGCATTTGAAAATTGTGCGAACATAACCTTCCTGGACTTGTCATTCAATCAACTGGCTAACCTTCCCAAGAATGCTTTCGATGAAACTACCTATGCCACTGAGTTGCAGCTATCTCATAATTTCTTCAGTAATTTATCGCAGGTAAAGTAATAATAATTGACTAACAAATTAATTGATAATCAAAACCAATTAAAAAATTCTTTGAAATATTTTTTGGTTGATACTTGTGTGTCTTTGTATTTTTTAGAAAACAAGATCCAATTGAAATTATTGAATGGTAAGTAACTATTCGTCTTCCACTTCAAAAAGTGGAAAAAAGTAGGATATTAATCAGATCAATATTTTTGGTGAAATAAAATAGAAGCACAAGCCATGATTCACAGACATAATCATATATGATTTCCCTACAATTTGTAGTATTCAATAACAAGTTTCAGAGACTTGACTGATCAACTTTCAGGTAGTAATTTTTGTGAAAAATTGAATTTCAGAAAACAAATTACTATCTATAATACTTACATGGTAGATATTGAAATCATCCTTTCCTGAAAACTATAAAAACAACTACAACTACTGGACTTTCAAGAATCAGGAGAAGCATTACTAAAAATACGTTAATTTGAATCAAGCTTTCAGAACTAGCAATCAGAACACTATTCAGGAATCAGTTTTCACATGACAAACACGCTTTGTAAAGCAATCATGACTTCTAGAGTTACACTAAAACAAAACTTTCCTCTATGATTGACTGGAAGACCATCCTCTATATTTAATTTTCCAGATTTTCGAAAATAATATTATACTGGATTTATTTTTCAGATTCCTCTACACAACATGACAGGAATCAAAATCCTCAACGTCTCCCACAACTTCATAACCACCATCCCGAGAAAAACTTTCCCCAAACTCTACGAACTCCACACCATAGACTTATCGTACAACAACCTCACCGATATCTTCAACGCTGTCTTCCAAACACTCTTCTCCTTGAGATTCATTGATATGAGCCACAACAACCTCGTTACCATTAAACCGGGAGCATTCGGATCTCTTCCAACGCTTCTAGAGCTGGATTTGAGCTACAACAACTTGGAAAGTGTAGCAAAAAGTGCTTTTGCGAGGATTTCTGGTGCTAGGAAACTGACGCTCAGAGGCAACAAGCTGAAGGACCTGTTCCAGCTTCCAATTTCTGTGTCTCACTTGGATCTGTCTCACAACGAGTTCGAGAGATTTCCACCAGAAGCATGGCCTAGTATGAATTCTTTGCTGAGTTTGGACCTGAGCCACAACCATTTTGGAGACAATTTGGGTCAAGGGAACTTCGCCAACCTACTTACGCTGCAGAGGCTCAATTTGAATTATAATGGTGTTCAGCATCCTCCTTGGGTGCCCTTGAGTGATCTCACTTCCCTGCAGTATTTGTATTTAGAGGTGAGTACATTCACTAGGAGTCTTACTGGAAGGGTTGGCTGTTCTTGTTCATCTTTCACTACCTGAAACAATGTGCATAGTGTTTTTGGCGAGTGCATTGGCTTAGGATGTGGGAGTTAAGCAAACCGGCCATCGGATGTCTGCTTCCACGTAGCCCCGCTGAATACGGGAATGACAGAATCACTTGTGGTTCTGTTATTCCCTAACTGAATGGCATTTCGACGATGGGTTAATCCTAAGGTGTGTGTATGAGGATGAACGACACTGTGTCTATCAGCTGTCTCTATGGAACCTTCGAGATACCAGGCGCCCTCTCGTCGTAGCATCGCTTTGTCACGGTAATGCGTGGCTCTGTCGTGATTGATCTTCTTTTCCTAGCTACTCGTGAGACTTTTATGGACAGAGTAAACTTAAAAATTCTTTTTGACGCTGAGTCTACGTAGGAGATGGATATCGAACTGACTTCCGCGTAAATTTTGATCAGGAGCGAGAGCTTTTCAATTCTCCAACTCCTGATCCAATGTCTGAACCTTAACAAAATGTTTGGTGGTGAGCGGGGTACATTATGAGACCGCCTTGCACCAAATTCTTGAGCGGCGTACGCAGAATCTGTCTCAAGCAGAGGAACAAACCTCCCATGAGCAGGTTAGCAAACTTTTGCGCTGGTGATGATTCACCAAAACCAGAGGCGAAAAAGTCCTGCAAGATTGAATCTAAGGCATCGTCAGGTGTAGCTGACGTGCAAAAACCCTCATATGGGAAGGTTGTCGTGGGTATCAAGGTGGGAATCTTGCACCTTGACTACCCAACTACCTCATTATTGATGAAACAGCAGAGCATATACTTTTCGTCTGCCCCGCTGGGGGCCGAATTAGGTTTTTAGAGTTCGGCAGAGCCGTAATCTTGCCATCTGACCTGAAAGACCACTCACCATACAAACTAATCGGCTTCGTTAAGAAGCTAGGTTTATTTGGTCGAGTGTGAATAAGTGTGGTGGTTGCGGGTTGCAGTGGAGGATCGAATAGACCCACTCACTTTGCACCTAACCTTAACCTACTGAAAGGGATAGAAGTCAGTTATAACAATGATAATAAACTATTTTATTAGTAAGACTTTTTCTTGTGTAGTCGTAGGTGTTGGATACCAATAAGCCACAAACCACACCGACCGGTTCTCAAAGCTGACATAACAGATGCCATCGGTCAAAGTCAGCCTGATTTTTGCGCTAGAGTCATGGATAATTGTACGTTTCAGATGCCCTCCATCCAGAGAAGCTGTGGCAGACATTTGAAGGATGTTATACTCCACAGATAATGGCATCAATAGGTCTTTCAAACGAAAGAAAAATTTCGATGAAATCTATAACATACTTTGTTTTATTTAAATTTGTAGATAGAAAGCGCCTAACGAAAGACCATATAGTACGTATATGTATTTGAAAACTGATTATGTTGAATGAAAAAATAATATACTACCAAAATCAATGAAAAAGCTGATTTCCTCATAAAGAGGAGCCTGTATACCTCAGTTAAATGAAAATAAGGGTAGGTACTACTGAAACCAGCGATAATTCGTCCTCTGCAAAAGCCACAAGTGCAATGATCAATACTAATGTCATCTGAGATCAGAGAATCAGTCCCCCCGGAATCTAATTAGCTTCCTCAGAAGTCACATATCTGCAGGCTCAACTAGATAATATTTATGTAAAATAACCTTGAAGGTCACAGTACCGAAAGGCGCAGAATCCTCAACATATACCTACTGCAATCAATTCAAGAAAGGAATCTTTTTTTTCTCTGGTGTCCACTTGGTTTATATTAGTACGACTGTCTAGTTGTCACAGGAAATTTGGAGCAACAAATATTAGAACTTTCTCAATGACCCATTGTATCTTTTTCAGGGAAACAATTTGACAAAACTGGAAAGGAATGCATTTGGAAAACTTCCAGTAATCTTTGAATTGAATTTGGCCAATAACAACATCAGCAACATAACTTCAAGAGCGTTCGAAGGGCTTCTTCAGATTCTTGTTCTCAATTTGACAAATAACAATCTCAAATACATCCCAACTGGAGCATTCCAAGGTAGGAAAATAATAAAATTTATGATTTAATCGCAATACTATTTTACCATAATTTTTAGGTTTGGTAGCTCTTCAGAATTTGGATCTTTCCCACAACAAAATAGTGAAAATGGACAACAAAACTCATGGAGTGCTTGATGACTGCCTATCTCTGGAAAAGGTACATATTTGTAGTAGCAAAAAAAAGCTAGGAAATATGATCTGAGTTTTAGGTTGACTTGAGTCACAACAAGATCAGTTTTCTATCCAGAAAATTTTTCCCCAGCAATCCTTATATCCCGTACAAACTGAGGGATGTCGATCTTTCCTATAACTTGATGCCAGTGTTAACCGCTGACCTAACAGTTGGAACCTCAAAGGTTGAGAAGTTGAATCTATCCAATAATGCTATTGCTGATATCAGAACTGGTGAGTTCTGTAATATATACACATCGCCAAAATTCTTGGACCCCCTTATGTTTGTCTAAATGAGACACTATAATCATAAGTCAAGAAGTGTATTACAAAGTACATTTAATTTGGTTATGTAGCCATTGCAAATTGGCTGAATTTAATTTTGACTGAACAAGAAAAAAATACAAACGAAAAATAGTGCATAACAAAATGATTACCAGAATTTGAAATGTAGAAGAAAACCATTGTAGAGCGTAATCAAAAATGCATTAATATTCGGTGTGTCCTCCCCTGTTCTGAAGTAAGGTGCTAACTCGCCTGTGCATGGAAACAATAAGGGCATTAATGATATTCATTGGGATATTGTTCAATTCTTCTTGGGCCGCGAGTGTGAATTCCGGGAGGGTGCTAGAATGAATAATTCTGTTTGAGATTGCTCATTTACCGAAATTCCACATGTGCTCAATGGGATTTTAGAATAATTACAGGGTTACTAACCGGTCATTGTCCGCTTAGAGGACACCTGAATGAAATGGGGCTGTACAACGGAGACCTCAGCTGCAGATTATGGAACAAAGGGATAGAAACAGCTCACATCTTCTGCGAATGTGAGGCACTGAATCACAGGAGGCAGGCAATTACGTATGAAATTACGTCCAGAAGAATATGACGAACATCCAACACGGAACCTGTACAAACTAGTACAGGGAACGAGACTGATGGAATTGGTGTCATGTGAAGATGGGAGAACAAACGCAATAAGCCCAAGAGGCTGCAGTGTTTCCTGGAGACTTGGATTAAATGGACAAGTCAGACAGCTCCCAAGGTAAAAAAAACATAAATATCGAAATTTATTTTATGAGTTCAAAGGTTTAACGACATGGTAAAATTAAGGCATCCGTCTGGGATACCTCTTATTCGAGACAGAGAAAATATCAACATAACCCGTGCAGTGACATCTATATATCAGTAGCAGGCTTACGACATTAGAAATATCGGAGACCAATCGGACTTATTCGCTGGACATGTAGAGGACGTTAAGAGTACCAGTCTTGGAAACAATTTCAGACTTTCTGATTGGTCGGAATTTTTATGAGATTATTTGAATTACATCCCCTAACAGAGTTAAGGCGCAAGGTTTTTTGGGAGAATTAAGGCAGTTGTGCGCGGACCACAGGGTCGTTTGGGGGCTTTTGGCCGGGGCGGTTGGCCTCTTTGTAGAGGTTGCTGGGAGGGCTGTTGAGAGGACTGGGGTGCTGGGTGTTTTGAGACACTGGGTCGCGAGGGGATTTCAGTAGTGATGTATATTCGCGGTTTATTTGACTAGCTGACTTGAGGTAAAAAATCAGGAGCGTACGAAGTCAGAAGTAGGCCAGTTGAATTCCCTGTAGAGTTTTGGAAAATACTCGAATAGAGTGAAATACGGTTTCGAGAAGTGATCTCGATATTTGGGAGTTATTCGCGGTTCATTTGGCTATCTAGATCTGGTAAGTAAGGCTGATGGTCAAGCAGTTCAATCTGAGAAACAGGATTTTCTTTTTCTGCAAATGTGGCCGTTTTTCCGCAAGTTCTACCTTCAGCTTGTCAAGTAATGATGCGTAGTGTGCTCCTGTAACGGTTTTTCCTTTTTGAAGGAAAATTACTATCCCGAAAAACAGTGCCCATCACTTTCTCAGCTTTTTTTTGAGTTGGTTTCCCTTTTGCAGTCCATAATTTGGGCGTGTAATTGTGTATCTAAGGTTCATCTACAGTAATTAATCGGCACCTAAACTCATATTTGTTGCACCTAATCTGCGAAAACAGAGCGTTAGAAACGTTCATTCGAACACGTTCATTCGAACATTGATTCAATATGTGACAAACACGTTCTTCTGACACGGTAATAACCTCTGCTATCTCTCCCACTTCAATTTGGCGGTCATCTAGCATCAGTTGGTGAACTTTGGCAATGTTTTCATTGGTAGTTGTAGGTTTTGGACGTCCTAAACGTTAATCCCTCTCCCAATCCCTTTCGGCCACGTTTAAATTCAGTTGCTTAAAATTTCACTGTGGTGAATGATGGTGCAGAGTCCCCATACACAGAATCCAACTCTTCTTTGATTTGCGTTGGCCTATTGTCTTCAAAAAACAATTATTTATTGACAGCTCGATACTCGATTTCATTTATTTTCTAAAAAGCACCTACATCAACTCATACAAACAACTGCACGTCCAAAATGGCTGAAACTTTAAGTAACTGTCAAGAGATGAACAACGAAATTCACTAGCTTTTATTTACGAGTGCTGCCATCTTCATGGCAGATCACCCTTGTTTTTAGTCCCTGAACCAACTATGGGTGGTACCAACATCTTTGATACGGAATCAGGTTGGAAAGTGAATATATGAGGAACATAGAGAGTATTGTTAAAACATATCTGGGTAGACATACGGGTCTTCATAAAGGGACCATTCGAGAAGAGAACCGAAGAACCGCTTTAAAAAAGCAGGGATCAGCTCAGGACAACTTCAGGTCTACTCATGTGTTCATTGAGAGGACACATGAACCGAACAGGGCTGTATAACAAAGACCTTAACTGTAGTAATACAATAGAGGAACTGAGACACCTCGTCATATTTTAAGCGATTCTGAGGCACTGTATCATACGAGGAAAACCCAAATTATGGACAACTCCAATTAAGTCCATACATCCAACAAGGGATTTATACAAATGAGCACCGGGCCCACGTTTGTTGGAATAGGTGCCATAAAAAATTTTGTTGACTTCTTCATATGAACTGATACTTGTTGGTGAGTCAGCTGTCAGTTCTGCTTCCATAAAAGGAGTTTAATATATTGTGGNCCATTGCATCTTTTTCAGGGAAACAATTTGACAAAACTGGAAAGGAATGCATTTGGAAAACTTCCAGTAATCTTTGAATTGAATTTGGCCAACAACAACATCAGCAACATAACTTCAAGAGCGTTCGAAGGGCTTCTTCAGATTCTTGTTCTCAATTTGACAAATAACAATCTCAAATACATCCCAACTGGAGCATTCCAAGGTAGGAAAATAATAAAATTTATGATTTAATCGCAATACTATTTTACCATAATTTTTAGGTTTGGTAGCTCTTCAGAATTTGGATCTTTCCCACAACAAAATAGTGAAAATGGACAACAAAACTCATGGAGTGCTTGATGACTGCCTATCTCTGGAAAAGGTACATATTTGTAGTAGCAAAAGAAAGCTTGGAAATATGATCTGAGTTTTAGGTTGACTTGAGTCACAACAAGATCAGTTTTCTATCCAGAAAATTTTTCCCCAGCAATCCTTATATCCCGTACAAACTGAGGGATGTCGATCTTTCCTATAACTTGATGCCAGTGTTAACCGCTGACCTAACAGTTGGAACCTCAAAGGTTGAGAAGTTGAATCTATCCAATAATGCTATTGCTGATATCAGAACTGGTGAGTTCTTTAATATATACACATCGCCAAAATTCTTGGACCCCCTTATGTTTGTCTAAATGAGACACTATGATCATAAGTCAAGAAGTGTATTACAAAGTACATTTAATTTGGTTATGTAGCCATTGCAAATTGGCTGAATTTAATTTTGACTGAACAAAAAAAATACAAACGAAAATTAGTGCATAATAAAATTATTACCAGAATTTGAAATGTAGAAGAAAACCATTGTAGAGCATAATCAAAAATGCATTAATATTCGGTGTGTCCTCCCCTATTCTGAAGTAAGGTGTTAACTCTCCTGTGCATGGAAACAATAAGGGCGTTAATGGTATTCATTGGGATATTGTTCAATTCTTCTTGGGCCGCGAGTGTGAATTCCGGGAGGGTGTTAGAATGAATAAATCTGTTTGAGATTGCTCATTTACCGAAATTCCACATGTGCTCAATGGGATTCATTTGCTGGCCACGGTAATATTGTCAATCTCATAGTATCTGGAATGGGAATAAGCTGCGTACGACGACCATGCATTATGCCTCCCCAAAACATTACTGGTATGGGTGTTACAGAAGTTACCTCATTTCAGGCAGCCTATGAAATCATCACACCAGTCAAGTTACCTTTCAGCTCGCCAGACAGGGCAGACAGACCACCCAGTCAACCAGAGTATACCGTCACGTGGTGTCCTGTCACCCAGCTAGGTGGGCGGTGAACTAATCAGAGTGTACCAAATTGTCACGTAGCGTTCTCAAACTGTCACGCAGCTCGCCAGCTAATCAGAGTGCACGCTTCTGCATCTCACAACATCGTGGCGGGAGATTTGAATTTTCGGTGGATATATATAATTCAGGCAAACAGACGACCAGGCGTATCCCTCAACGAGAACGACCATGCAGTCACGTGGCGCGCTTACGTCAGGCCATCTTTTGACTCAACACATTTTTGTTTCATGACGCCATAAAAAAAAGTTTTCGTTGAAGAATTGAACGCAGGTCGGTGGTATGACAGACTTGACCGTTAGCTTCGACACCAAAGTTAAATATTGAAAGCAATTGCGAACTATTGATAGTGATGTCTTTGGTCATTGCTTTTCGAATAGTTTTTACATTTGAATTATGATCCCTGTTCAGACTTCTCTAGCATGAGAAAGTCTTTCTTGTCGCCCTGGCCCTCTTGTCGCCGACTATCACCCAACTAGCAATTTCGTATTTTATAATAGTTGTGAAATAGTTTCGGAGAAACAAATTATAAAACTGTATTTCTCCCAGAAATGTTTTCAATGTGTTTATAAAACAGCTATAATTGGGAAATTGGCACCGTTTTAAAAACATTATAGTCTTTATCAATATTTTGAAAGGCTTTTTACACTACAAAACAGTTTTATAAACATGTTGGCAGTTACTATAAAATTTGTCTAATACTCTCAAAAAGTGGTTTTGTAAAGACGTTATAAAATATAATACAGCCGAAAACGATAACGATAAAATAAAAAAGTTTTAAAAATGTTTTCTTGAAGGCGCAAGAAGTCATTTTGTATTGAATACTAGGAAAATATAATAGATATTTCACCAACTGAGAACTAACAAATAGAAAGGTTGAAGCCATTTTAATATTTCACTTTTGTACTTATAAAACTGTTAAAGACATTGTTTGTGTTTCGAAGATTGATATTTTCACTGAAAATGAAATTTTATTGACAGAAATATAGCCTATTATTAGCAAAATTTGAGCGCGCTACTCATTTATAAATGTTTCTAGAAAAATTACTAATTATACAAAAATTCACTCTATCGACGTGTTCATTTTCTAGTCGCAAAATTAACTCTGTTTGTTCTAAATGATACAAGGTTATAATATCTATGTACTTTTCAGCTGTAAATATCACTATATGAACGGTATTTCATATTTGCAACTCATCTATTTTTAGAATTCCGGATTGCAAACATTTAAAATGGCGTCCTTCTACCACCATCGAGATCACCGCCATGTTTTCAACACAAATGAGTGTTTCTTTTTTATACTCTAATGAACTGGTACTTGCCATAGTAGAAATACTTTCACTTATTGACTCAATATTGTTCTTTGATTATTTTTGAACATTAACAACATAAATATCCCAATCACTGCACAGCATATTTTCCTAAAACATTTTCAGTCTTCGTTAACTATTTTATAACGGTTTTTTAATTTCATTTCATAAACGTTTCTATGACAAATTTATAAAACACTTTTATTGCATACAACTGTTCACCGCTCGTCTAATATAACCAATTAGCATTTTGGAAGTAATTATAAAATACCAATAAAATAAAACTGTTGCAGAACCATGAAATTATAAAACAACTCTGCTGGTTGGGCACTAACTAAACCAAATCTGGTTTCGTCCGAAAAAGGACATTTCGCCACTGAGCTAAAGCCAGTCTCTGTGTTCCTATACCCACTGTAGACGAGCGGCTATATGTCTGGGAAGTAGCCTGGGTACAATATGGCCTCCTGGATTGCAAATTGGCTCTAGCAAGGCTCCACCGTATTGTGGTACTGGAAATTAATCGACCAAACGTTCTCCTTAAATGAGTTCGAACTGCTAAGACTGTTATGGTTCTATTCCGACGTACATATCCTGCTAGATACCGATCTTCTCTTGCATTAGTTACCTTAAGGACAAGCGCATACTACAGACTTTTTATCGGGCGATAGTTTAGTCTGTATATAGTATTTTGACGCGTTGTATTGAAAGAATTGAAGAATGTTATCGAGGAAAGCTATTATATTTATGCTTTTCAACTTCCGCAATTAAATTTTCTACTGAACATTCGGCAATATTCGACATAATTATGAAAAAAAAATGCAATGAAAACACAAATATATTCAAAGATAAAGTAGGTACTAGATGATATTTGACATCAGATATCAACAATGGAATATAGTGTGGGGAGTCTGCAGGCACCGACTGTTTAGTTGATGAGTCTGCGTACTCTCATAAAGACACAGTCTGATTAGAACTCGGCCGATAGTTGTCCAACTCTGTAATTGAATCAGAAGTGGGAACCCTATCAAACTTGTTTCTGATTTTTCAGTCGGCCGACTGAAATCGCTTAGATGTGCGGACTCACATTACGAGTCTGTACTAATAAGCATCCAACTAAACCAGTGTTTCCTAACCTTGGGGTAATTACCCCTGCAGGGGTAAAACGGCAATTCTAAGGGGGTAACAGAGTTGGCACAGAAAAGTATTAAAATAATAAACAAAATAATAGTACGGTAGCACGGCGCTCTTATGCGCGCGGCTGACGGTGACGGCGGGTGATCGGCGGTGTGGGAGGGGTGAAGCACGGCTTCGATGTGGCTAGCGGCGGCGGCCGGGCCGGCGACGCGCGCCGATCGTTTCATTTTGAATTACTCAACCTTACGCTAAATGCACACACACCGATTTTGGACGGTCGATTTTATACCGGTCGTCCAAATTCCAATAGTGAACCACATGTGGGAACGGGACCTGGCACACACGCCGACCGGTGATCGGCGTCGGCCGTCTACAATCGGTGTGTGTGCAATTAGCCTTAGGAAGAACACGCGTTTTATTTGTTCGCAGAACCGCATCGCAGAAATTGTATTTTTTGGATTGTTCAAATTTAAAGGTAAGCAGCGTTTTTTAATATTGTCACGAGTGATTTGTTTACGTTACGTATACATGTATTTGTTGACTTTTGTTTTAGGTACCTACAGGGGTTTTTGATGGCTTCTACCCTTCTACTTCATCTGGCAAAAAACGCACTTATAAAGAAACAATGGGGACAAGAATATAGCAAAGCCTCAGTGTGGTTTATGTAATAAAGTGCTTAATCCAGAAAGCATGAAACCGAGTAAATTAAAAAAACATTTTGATAAAGTTCACAAGGAGTTCGCAAATAAAAATATAGATTAAAAAAAAACGGAGAAGGTTCTGAAGTCTTCACGATTGGATTCTACAGATAATATGCAGAAAACAAATGAATCGTGTCTTTAAGCTTCACACAAAATTGCTTATGGCATTGCAATTATTGAAAAAACACAAACTAGAGCAGAGAACCTCATCAAACCTTTTTTGTGTGATGCAGTATCACTCGTTATTGGTGAGCAATATGAAGCTAAGATTAAACAAATCTCACTCTCAAATACTACTGTTCAAAGTCGCATTTGTGAAATGAGTGCCGATATTCTAGCAACCATTATTGCTGAAATAAAGGAAAGTCATATATTTACGCTGCAGTTGGACGAGTCACACAGATGTTGCTTCGTGTTCACAATTATTGGTGTTTACACGATACATTGAAGATGATGATGTAAAGGAGGAACATTTGTTCTGCAAGTCTTTGCCCACTACTATTCGCGGCGAAGACGTATTTCAAACGCTAAAAGAGTTTATTGAGGAAAATGGCCTGGACTGGTTAAAGCTGGTTGGTGTTTGTACAGATGGGGCGCCTTCCATGATGGGCATCCGTTCTGGATTTCAAGCACTCGTGAAACAAGTTGCTCCTCCATTTTTCGGCTATCATTGCTTGATACACCGCTACGCTTTGGCTGTGAAGACGCTTCCACCATTCCACCAGATTTGCTACATATGTTAAGTAACATAGTAAAAATTGTTTTTAACTGCTGTGATAGACTCACTGAAGCAATCTATTCCGAACATGGATAGTCGTGAGTCCTAATCCTGGATTTTAAGACCATTTTCAGCTGCAGAATATCCTAATATAGCTGACGGAGATTAAAAAATGTTGATTCCATTTGCTGCAACTTACAGATGTGAAACTGTTTTCTCGACTCTTATTACATTAAAAACAAAAGCCAGAAACCGTCTGAATTTGGAGCATTACATGAGATGCGCGTTGAGTGAAACCGAACCTAATGTTAAACTTGCGAATGCAAAGCAATATCAACCTTTACACTAGTTAAGTCCGAGATTTATATATTACTAGTTACCTAAACGTGCAATTTCTTACCTAATAGAGATATTTTTGTTGGAATTTGTGTGTTTGAATTATTTTAAATTAGCTAGGGGTAAACTCAATTCCCATATTTGTTCACAGGGGTAGTGACATTGAAAAGGTTAGGAACCACTGAACTAAACTATCGGCCGATAAAAAGTCTGTAGCGCTTGCCCTAAAACGCCCAGTACCATGTTTCCAGTCAACGCTATCAGTTTCCTGGTACAAATGCACTATTCGGATAACTGAAGCGCGTGGAATCCTTAGTCTATCCGCAATTTGATGATTCGGTAGACCCTCATCATGCAAAGCCACTATTCTTGCTCTATGGAACACTGAAATATTGCCAGGCATAATTGAAAAGAAGAACTCAACAGTCACTTGAACACGCTAAATCGATATGAACCACTGTTTAAACATTGGTATCTAAAATTAGAGGAAATTGTTTTTGTAAACATTTTTGCATAGCACAGGTGAAAGAAATAAATATGAAATTTAAAAAAACCAGACATGATAAATATTTTGTTTTACATTTTACGAGGGGGGTCCATGAATTTTGGCGATGTGTGTATAGTGTGTATCGGCTCAGTAGTACATCTATTGCTGCTCTTCTGTTGTAGGAGTCATTGGAAACCTCACTCGCCTGCGATCTTTAGATTTATCGAATAACAAGTTATACGACCTCACAAGTGATAAAGAGTTCTTCAGGTTGCCAGATAACATTTCAGAACTTTATTTGAACGGAAATATACTGGATGATCTACCGTGGAAATATTTGAGAGATGCTAAACAGCTATCCGTTCTAGATTTAAGGTTCAATCTCTTTCAACGGTTTGTTCCAGAACTCATCGAGATAGTGAAGAACAAGGTTGATGTTTATTTCGAAGGTTAGTTCGGAAATGGGCGACGGTTGAGTCAAGTTCTCTACAACTCTTATTATTTCAGAAAATCCACTACACTGCGATTGTTTCTTGCGACCGCTCACGAGGTATTTCAGGAGCCAACTTTTCCTGAAACCATTTTATAAGACGGTTAGATGCAGAGGACCTTCATTCCTAGAAAATCATACCTTGTATGATCTTCCTGAAGAAAGGCTGAATTGTCCTATAAACGTGAACACTTCCATGCTAATCAAGCAATCAGCTGAGGATTACGACATTTTATCGGATCTGAAATTCAGAGAGTTGTCACAGTAAGCATGATTCTTTTAATAGATTGACTATATACTGGGTGTTGGGCATCGCAGGTAACTAAAATGCTGAATAATCATATAGTCACCTTTCAACTCTAAACACATCTCCCAGCGATACTTCCATCTCTGTAAACCGTCCAAATAGCACTCGGCGTCTTTTTCTGGAATATAATTGTTCACGAAGGTGATTGCCTCCTCATTTGACGACACTCTTTGTCCTCCGAGCGCAATATTCAGATGAGGGAACAAAAAGAAGTCGCTTGGGGCTAGATCTGGTAAGTAAGGCTGATGGTCAAGCAGTTCAATCTGAGAAACAGGATTTTCTTTTTCTGCAAATGTGGCCGTTTTTCCGCAAGTTCTAGCTTCAGCTTGTCAAGTAATGATGCGTATTATGCTCCTGTAACGGTTTTTCCTTTTTGAAGGAAAATTACTATCCCGAAAAACAGTGCCCATCACTTTCTCAGCTTTTTTTGAGTTGGTTTCCCTTTTGCAGTCCACAATTTGGGCGTGTAATTGTGTATCTAAGGTTCATCTACAATAATTAATCGGCGCCAAAACTCATATTTGTTGCGCCTGATCTGCGAAAATAGAGCGTTAGAAACGTTCATTCGAACACGTTCTTGGTCTAAAGTGAACAAACGCGGCACCCAACTCGGGGACGGATTTCTCAGGCTTAAATATTGATTCAATATGTGACAAACACGTTCTTCTGACAGGGTAATAACCTCTGCTATCTCTCCCACTTCAATTTGGCGGTCGTCTAGCATCAGTTGGTGAACTTTGGCAATGTTTTCATTGGTAGTTGTAGGTTTTGGACGTCCTGAACGTTAATCCCTCTCCCAATCCCTTTCGGCCACGTTTAAATTCAGCTGCCTAAAATTTCACTGTGGTGAATGATGGTGCAGAGTCCCCATACACAGAATTCAACTTTTCTTTGATTTACGTTGGCGTATTGCCTTCAAAAAACAATTATTTATTGACAGCTCGATACTCGATTTCGTTTATTTTCTAAAAAGCACCTACATCAACTCATACAAACAACTGCACGTCCAAAATGGCTGAAACTTTAAGTAACTGTCAAGAGATGAATAACGAAATTCACTAGCTTTTATTTACGAGTGCTGCCATCTTCATGGCAGATCACCCTTGTTTTTAGTCCCTGAACCAACTATGGGTGGTACCTTCGTTACACCAGTTTAAAAATGTCCAAAAGCACAAAAAATACGACTTTCACAATAACAAACTCAATGTTTCAGAAACCTAATTGGTATAGTTAAATAAAAATTTAATCAAAATGTACAAAAACGATGTAATACTGTCCAAAAATAATCCTCAAAAAATGTTAAAATAACACACAGTCTTATGGCAACTACTAAAAGTGTCACCAGTGTTACGTCACATCTACTCGGTGCTTGTTTAACGTGACGATATATGTAAGTAAGCAATCATGTATGTCCATAATCGTTGGATGGTACCAACATCTTTGATACGGAATCAGGTTGGAAAGTGAGTCTATGAGGAACATAGAGTGTATTGTTAAAACATATCTGGGTACACATACGGATAAGTCTTCATAAAGGGACCATTCGAGAAGAGAACCGCTTTAACAAAGCAGGGATCAGCTCAGGACAACTTCAGGTCTGCTCATGTGTCCATTGGGAGGACACATGAACCTAACAGGGTTGTATAACAAAGACCTTAACTGTAGTAATACAATAGGGGAACTGAGACACCTCGTTATATTTTAAGCGATTCTGAGGCACTGTATCATACGAGGAAAACCCAAATTATGGACAACTCCAATTAAGTCCATACATCCAACAAGGGATTTATACAAATGAGCACCGGGCCCACGTTTGTTGGAATAGGTGCCATAAAAAATGTGTTGACTTCTTCATATGAACTGATACTTGTTGGTGAGTCAGCTGTCAGTTCTGCTTCCATAAAAGGGGTTTAATATATTGTGGCCTACCAATTCTTAGTTTCTTTCCAGTATCTGAAGGCTGGACCATTCGGCTACTAGGACACTGAAATATCGAATTTCATAGGGACATATTTGCGCTGGAATTGGATATTGACGTCAGTTTCACAATCTGTCAGACACGCATGTGTTAATTTGTCTCACTTTTGATGTGTTGTGTCATTAAATATTTGTTCAATTTCATAGTGCATTCAGTGTCAAAATGATCAGAGTTGCTCTAATTACAATGAACTGAACGAAAAGTACAATTTACATTGAAAGTCAAATCCTCCAAAAATACCTCCACACAATCTTGTGATAACTATCGCCGAACGAAATTCGTCCTCTGTCTTTCCCTGTAGCTTTCACTGCAACCAGTTGAAACCAGAGCCTAATAATGAAGAATTCGTGATGCAACACCAGACAACGCTATTTTGACCCGACTAGGTTGCATCAGTAGTGCTCGATTGTCCCAACTATCCATATACGATACACCCCCTCTTTCGATATTCCATCTATGGGACTAACGGATGACGAACTTCGTTCGGCGGTCGATGTTGAGTATCCACTTTGCAACTGATCCACAGACCCTAGACGGTTCACGGCAATGCTAAACAACAGAGACGGAAAAAAGCGCCATCTGAAGATTTGTATCAGTACCATTGTGACGGACGCGGGATATTCAAATGTTGTATATAGTTGGAATATTCATTTTATTCAAATGTTTTTTGGAAATTTCGGCGTATTGTTTAGAGTCTCAAACTACACTTTATATTGAGTGTTGTGTGGACTTTAAACAATACGCTGAAATTTACAAAAACAATGTTAAAATTATAGTTAGAACAAATTCTTAACTCGACCCACTTGTCGGTTATGGGACACCAAAACCAAACCACGAAAGAAAGATTAAAGGTAGAAGATGCTAGAGAATGGTATACCGAGTGGTCGAAAATGGAAAAAACTTTGGGAAAATAGGAAAAACAAGACTATTAATGTTAGTCCTGGACAAGACCATAAGTATGCCACCAGATCCATAAATATACTACTACGAAGATCTCACAGTACTGGTCTATTTCTGCGAAGTCCATGAAATGTGCAATTTGTGCTCCTTTGGAAACATCATTTACATCTGAGATGTACTTGTGATGCACTGTTTGGAACTTTTGGTTCCAATTTCAACACATCGACACGTGTTTCGATCACCAAGGATTCATCTTCAAGAGGAAGATCAAATTCCTTCTAGCAACGAGTTGTTTGCTTTTTGCTGATATGAATCCCAGTATTTTATCAGCTTGTGTTACATATAGCTCCTCTCAGTTTGAGCTTTATATACTGCCATTATGACTATTTATAGGTCGTTCGAGTGCTTTCACTTTCGCTTGATGATGGGTTTCCATATATTACGTATTTCTACGCTGGCTTGGGTGAATACGTTGTTGGACAACATGTATGCGGCTTCCTTGAATTTTCTCCTAAACCAATGTTCCTTTCTGTGTAAAATCTCAACTTGGGACTCTCGATGTTGTTTTGATGGGTCCAAACATGGTCTGCTATTCCTGATTTGCTGGTTTCCCCTCACTGTGTGTATTTCTTGTGCTTGGCAATGCAAACATTCAATGGCCTCTTAGTTTCACCAATATAGGATTTTCCGCACTCACAGGGTATCCGGTAAATGCAATTCTTGGAATCGTAGTCCGCGTTTGGTGGCCTGGTTATCGTGAGGCTACTACGGATAGTGTTACCTGATCTGAAGCAGGTTCTGATGTTGTACTTGGAACCAATGGTGCTTATCCTCTCCGATAATCCTCTGATGTAGGGAAGTGCAAGCACTGGTTGTGACGGCTTATCTTCCTTGCTAGGCTCCTGCTGTCTTTCAGCCAAAATCTTTTCAACCATCGCTTTGGAGTAGCCATTCCGTTGAAGATCATTTTTGATGATGTCTTATATTTGTTCAATTTCATAGTGCATTTATTGTGAAAATGATCAGAGTTGCTCTAATTACAATGAACTGAACGAAAAGTACAATTTACATTGAAAGTCAAATTCTCCAAAAATACCTCCACACAATCTTATGATAACTATCGCCGAACAAAATTCGTCATTCGTCCTCTGTCTTTCCATGTGGCTTTCATTGCAACCAGTTGAAACCAGAGCCTAATAATGAAGAATTCGTGATGCAACACCAGACAACGCTATTTCGACCCGGCTAGGTTGCATCAGTAGTGCTCGATTGTCCCAACTATCCATATACGAAACGCCCCCTTTCGATATTCCATCTATGGGACTAACGGATGACGAACTTCGTTCGGCGGTCGATGTTGAATATCCACTTTGCAACTGATCCACAGACCATATACCCTAGACGGTTCACAGCAATGCTAAACAACAGAGACGGAAAAAAGCGCCATCTGAAGATGCGGGATATTCAAATGTTGTATATAGTTGGAATATTCATTTTTTTCAAATGTTTTTTGGAAATTTCGGCGTATTGTTTAGAGTCTCAAACTACACTTTATATTGAGTGTTGTGTGGACTTTAAACAATACGCTGAAATTTACAAAAACAATGTAAAAATTATAGTTAGAACAAATTCTTAACCACTGCTTTATGTTGCAGGGCAATAAGGTTTAAAAAAACAGCTGAATTATTAAAGATTTTTTATTCAGAACATTTCAACATTAAACATTTTGTGTGATTATATGTTCAGGTTGCTTAGAATTCTTTTTCTTTATTCTGTTCAAACGAATTTTATTGGCTTGTAATTTAATTACATTTGTACCTGTATACAGTTTCGATTTTCCCTGTATAATTTGATTTACACGCTTGCACCAATTATGTGTGATAGTTGTTATGGTGAATTTTATAACAAATTGAATTATATTATTTTTATGTTCCTTTTTGTTGCAAGATAAGAATTCAAAGCTAACCTTGCCTCTTATTGTATTTTCAATCTTCTAGTGAAAGATCCACCATATATGTCTGTATGTTTATATTCATTACCTTCAATACTGTGAGAAGATTCGTTCAATTCTGGAATCTCAATGACTAACTCATTAAATTGAGTACTTTCTTGAGCAGAACTATTTGAAGACTCAGATGTTGATGGAGTATCATATACATCATTTGGGCCTGTCGAACCTATAAAAAAGTCTGTTTCATTTAAGTTTCACGAATTGAAATTTTTACTCACCAGGAAGATTTGTAGTTGGAACAGCATTCCCAAATAACTTGTGAGACCAAGCAGAAATGTATTTTGCCTCAAAATGACTATCACACAGCCTTCTAGAACCGTAAACTTCTTTTGGGCCCATTGCCATCAGTTCCAAGTTATTAATTACCAGTATCCATTTCTTGAACCTATTTATATCTTTATCTGGATTAGGGAACGCATGTCTTATACTAGATATACTTTTGCAATAAGGAACGCAACATTTGTTGTGGTAAACCATTGTTAAACAATCAAAATAACGAAATAAATAATCACTAGGGTACACAGTCAGACAACAACACCACAGACCAACAATACATGAGTCACATGACCATATTTTATATATTATGCACATGTTCTTCTTCTTCTTATTCTTGACATACATCACAAACCACAAGAATATATGTGGGCCCGTGACATAAAACCAAAGAACAAATTTACAGTGCCATCTTAAGATTTGTATCGGTACTAAAAAAGGGATTCAAGGTGAACTAACCTACGTGACCCGTCAGGGTATATGGTTTGTGAACTGATCGCCTTGGGAAGAGTCATTAATCTCTGATATTCGTGGATTGAATGTTCTGTCTATCCCGTAGATGTCATTTTCATAATCGGAAATATCATTGCCTCTACAACTCAGGCTTGTCTTTTAAGGACAGTTGAGTACAGAAACGCATTCGTTAATCACCCTCGTACCACTGATAAGACTTGGCGGGTCGGAACACTGCTTTATCACAAATGCTTTGTTTTTGGGCTCTGATTTCAACTAGTTAATAAGAAACGTAGCTTGACAGTTTCATAATAAATTTTAGTTTCACCGTTAACAAATGTCATTTGTCAACAAATGCTCAAGCTTGTAACAGGTGTCTCTGTGCTGCATGGTTGTCACATTTTTTCAGTTTTATATGAGTTTTTTGAGGTTCCTAACGTTATAATTCCTCAATAAAACACTCTTCATAATAGATAGCCTGTGTATGGTAGAAAACTACTTCTATATAGTATAGTATGATTATATTCATATTATGTTCATTACATATATTTTATATTGGGATTAAAACAGCATTATATGAAAGTTGAATGAAAACTAATGCCTGGTTTTCGCTTTTAGGAGAAAAGGTGTGTATAAGGTCAAATGGCGCGTTATGAAAGAATCTGACATAGCAGATACGGAAGTCATCATCAGAGATATGATGAATGCCCAAAATCTAGTGTTCAAGGCTACTATACCATATTTCAAGAGATCTTTGGAGATAGACTCCAATAAGAATTTCAGAAAAGAAATCAAAACCGGAGGATACCAAATTTGCTTGTTGGCTAAAAATAGTTATAATGTTATCAACAATTTCTACGAACAACAATGCAAAGATTTATCAATGACGATTTCGTCTGCTGAGAGAGTTTACAGTGTAACGAGTACTGTGTATGTTTTTCTTCTTTCTGTTATTGTTTTGAACGTGTTTATTTAGAATTATATGTTTCGTTGATACAAATTTGCATTTGAATTTTTATAGATTGTAACAATTTTGCAAATATCGGAAGACAAGAGAAAGTTTTAAGTGGGACACAATGATGAATAACATGGCCGTCATCGAATGAAATCTGAAGTACCAAACGATTCGTCTGCTATTAAGGCAAACATCAAAGCATCAAAACTGCGAAGACAAAGTTTACATCACGAAGTATCAGCAACAACTGACTGGCGAGCTACGTGTTCACTCGTATTTATAATTTCAGAGGATGGTGGAGTTTATGATGGGGATAGTGGTAGTGGTGGGGCGATGGCAGAGTGCCCAGGCAAATGCTTAATTCTGATAGGTCCGTACTTTTCTGGATCGTTTTAGTTGGTCCGCACTGGTTGACAGGTTGACACCTATACTATTGGTGGGATGTAGATCGGAGTTATATTCTAGTCTATTTATAGCCTTCTTGAGCACTGAATACCACAATATATTATTCCGTATATCTTCTTCTTTTCGAGTCGTGCTTGGTAATTTCTTTGTATTTCATCACGTGGTTTGTTTCTAGTGGGACGTGTTTAGCAATTGCGAATTTCTCCGGTTGCATGAGACGGCAGCTGCTCTTGTGTTCTTATATCCTTGTGATGATGCTGCCTTTGGTAGTTTCGATGTGAACTGAGGTACAGGAACAGGGAAACGTGTAATCTCCGACGGAAATCTAAGGATCTCTCTTGTCGGCTGAATCGTGGTCGAAGTAGTGTGAGTATTTCTTCTTGTAGATTGTAGAGCACGTTTGGTTTCTTGCGCTGTAAAACCAGTGTTCTGTAGAACTTAGTATAGATGACGAAGTTCTTTTTCAAGGAGATGTGGTTCACAAAACCTGGAGGCACGATTGGAAATGTTTTCTACATAGCACGTTTTTGCCCTGGATGGTGATTTAAGTTCTTGTTGAGATATCGATCAGTATGTCAAAGTGATATGTTCCATATTTTGGTTGTATTGATATTAAATGAAGAGTCTGCCGCAAGTCTCATGAGATCCTTTTGCATTTGCTGTTAGCATGTCTCACATAAGTTGCCACAGCCTATACCCACCAGTACAACGCTGAATCATGTATGCTGTATTGATATTTCTGGTAATCTTAGCGACGACACTTTTTTGCTCTGGAGGATACAGAATCTGTTGAAAATGAGAGGTTCCGAATTCATTGGAATCACCCATTCCCAACGTCAGACAGATTTGAGCTAGTAAGGCAGTTTTGAGCTAGTAAGCTAGATGTCCTAAACGTCTGTCGAAGTGAGACGGTTTTAGTTATGGAATTTTCAGTTCCTGATGAAGTGAATATCATCATAAGCGAGGAGAGAAATCAAGGAACATATCTAGATCTACATTGCGACCTGCGTAAACTTTACCAGACCAAGGGTTGTTCTGTTCATAGGAGTCCCTGGTGGAATGATGCATTCACTATTCTCTACTTTTAATCTCTCCTAAACTCTCCTATCTTATCCTAACCTCATACCATCTTGTCTCAAAACGGCAGAAATATCAGACGGGTAAATGCAGAAAGTTGTCATTCTTGGTTCGTTACGTTTTCTCAGGACATACAGACCCAAAGATCACTTACTCCATGATTGCGGGGTGGGATATTGGAAAGCCCACCGAATGGATCAGAGACTGAGCAGCAATTATTTTCAGGTGAAATAATAATAATAATAACGATAATTTATTTGTAGTTTCATAATAACATTAAATAAATTGATGAGTAAATTTTGAACTAGAACTACAAATGAAATGTAAGGGTACCGTTGATGTTAGTTCCAATCTCAGTAGGAGAGAAAAAATAATTGAAAGAAGAAATGGACCGAAGGAAAGAAAAAATGGAAAGAAAGAATATGCTACCCACCCATTTAGAATATTTTAACAAACGATTGAATGTTCATAAAAAAAGATCCATTTGCTAACTCTAAAAGTTTCTATTCATATCTAAGAGGGTGAATGATTTCGGGTGGAAATTTGTAGGAAATTTGTAGGTCTTGCCCGTATGTTTTGACATACTATGATGAGACATGTTTGAAATGAAATAATATATTGAAACTTGTGGAGAAGGCATTTTTTTTTAAATGAATTAAGAAAACAGAAAATAGTATTGCGATTTTATACAGAGTCTTTTCGGATGCCAACTAACAAGCAAGAATATTCACTTCACAAGCAAAAATATTCACTTCGTAGTAGCTGATAACATAAAAACTGTATAAATAATTGACGGATAATTTCATGTGTAAGACAGTTCATTCCATATACGAGAACTTAAATTTTAATTACATCACACGGTTATTTTTCGCCGTTAATATTTTAATAGATCCAATCATTCATTGTGATGCATCGGAAAATTATTTTCCGTCGATCCCATCCCATGACAGATATTAATCTTATTGCCTCATTGTTTTTGTAATTATAATAATTTGAATAAACTATGTGACATTTCCTTCTATAATTGCCGAGAATTCTGCAAGACAATGGTTTTGTAAATAATTTTTGAAGAATGTACAGTTAGAAGAGAGTGCACACTTTTATGGGAAGGATTGCAAATAAAGTTATGACAAAGAAAACGAAGACAAAAATTATAAGCACGAATTCAATTGGAAATTACATTCTAGTGTTTAAAAAAACAACGTAGTTATAAATATTGCGAAATCTTTGGAAAAAATTGTACCAACTACTAGAAAACTATATAAAAATCCATAACTAAGTGAACATTTACCAAAATTTGTTCAAATTACAATGTTAATATCGAGAAGACAGTGCAACAATTGCAATGCGTTTATTCAGATAGAAACTCGTGTTCAAAAGGAATCCATTAAAATGTATTTCACATTCCAGAACTGCAACACTCTTCTCGACGAGCGTCAACCAAGTTGGCGTGATGAAAAGTGATGTAGCACTGTAGTTCAGATATGTGAGTGTAGTTTTGGTATGTATTTCCATTTCACATTTTGAAAAAAACTCGTGAAGATAGATTGCACGTTCAAAACTATTTAATATAGAGTAAGTACCCCAGGACACAGTTCTGGGTCCCCTGCTCATCAATAATTACGTGAATAGAGTGTTTGCATTGAAGCCTCTTTGGAGATATCTTACATTTCACCGACGATTTTGTATAAACGTATTTTGTGAAATGAAATTATAGACATAGTCCTCTTCTTCTTCAGCTTAATTATGGTCCCAGCTTCCAGGTGGCGCTTTTATGACCAGTACTCTTTTTATTATATTGAAAAGTATAATAAAAACTTTGTCCTGGGAATGCAGAAGGCTTGCTTTACGTAATACTGCACCCCATTTTTATTATTTCAATTTATTATTTTTGAAATACACGTCTATCTACGGCGGACATATACATACATATAAATTTTACGTCTTTTTCATAAAAGATTATTAATTGCAATCCTACTCCCACGTGGACATCCGGTCCACTCCGGCCTCCAACCGGCGTGAATGGGAGCACTATTTATTCAAATACACTAAAACAATGTTTATAATCACTTTGTCAACTTTTGCATGCACGTTAGAAAACGGCGGACATACACAACATGAGTTTCACCTTCAACAATGGCGTCCGCGTACCTTCTTTGTGAACGGTCGCTATCGGCACGTCCGCCCACCACCATGTCAGAAACGAAACTGAGAGAAGTCGTATCATAGTCCAGAAATTGTTGACTAATGAATTATTCGCAAATGATGTTGACAAAACATATCACCTACCATATTGCTGGAAGAAAACAACTACGATTCGAGTTAAATAACATTCCAGTTCAATATCATTTGAAAAACATCTTCAAGGGTGCATTCCTAAATGTGCATCTGAAGAGGAATATGCACATTCAATTCATTTCCCTTGAAAATTATTTTCATAAAAACTCTCACTTTCCCATCTGACCACTTTAATTTAGAATGGTACATCAACTTTTCTTACTGAAAATAAATATGTAGTAGGTACCACCAGAAACTAAAATTTGAATTACTCTCACTTGACTATAATATACGTTGTCAAATTCGGTATTCTATATCACGAATGCTAATATCCCTATTCTGGTGAAGTTTTCTCCTAAAAATCATTACTGAACCGAAATCAAACCATGTCTGAAGATTGTAGGAGAGGAGTACATACGTACTAGAAAATAAATATTTCGAAATGAAATCTCAAAATATTTATGTTGTCAATCATGCCCTAAAGAACATAACGCAGGCCGCCACTGGTAGCCATAAATCAATCGTGACGTAGCTAAGAGCTCGCGAATGTACGAGCATATCGACACAGTCAAGTGTAAGTTACAGTGCGGTAAAAGAAGCGATCTAGTAAGGCGATAGACAATAATAGTTGAAGTTTTAGTTGAAGTATTTGTTGTATTTAAAGTGAAGTTAATTGTTTAATGATTCAGTGTACTCAATTATTGGTCAACTCACGGGGAAAGACGTAACGTTTATCTCTCTCTATGACCTACACCATAGGTTCTGGTAAATGCCTGCCGGAAACAACTACTTCCCTCGCAAATATCACGTTGGATATTGAATTATATCCGCCAAACATTGGCGGATATGGATATTTAGCCTCCAGCAGCGGCTGGAATTATTCGAGTAGATCACCTACAGACCGGTTTCGAGGCATTACCTCTCATCAGTGCAGGAAAGATCCGATCCAAAGAGCAAATCGCCTGGGACTCGATTAATTTCAACGCTGCTCAACTGCATGTATGAAACTTTCGTCTAACAAAGATTGTTAACTAGTAACAACTTCATCTTGTAAAAATGTCCCGAGCGGGAAAGAAACATTCCAAAACGCTAACAGAGATCAAACCGTGTCTGAAAACTGTATCGAGGAGAGATATATACGTACTAGAAAATGGATATTTTGAAATAAAATCTCGAAATATGAAGCTTTAAAATGCTAATCACGTGTTTTCCAAAAGTGCAAAAAACAAATGGATTTCACTCAAAAATTTACCATATTGATCGAGTGAATGCTGGAAATGTTNTTGAAAT